TCAATAATATTTTAAAAAATATTGCAATTGTAAGTTATTATTATTTTTTCCAATACGAAAATAATCTATATCACATCAATTTTTATAAAGACCTGATTTTATTTTTAATTTTCTTTTTTTTTTTTGTTTAAAAAAAAAAGGTTACCAAATGTTTTCCTGTAACACTAGGATTGAAAATACAAAATTAATCATTACAATAAATTATTAATAATTAAACCCAAAAAAAGTAATAATAATAATAATTAGCAGTAATGTAGAATAAAAATTCTAGAACTTAATTTTGAAATCAAATATGGATGCCCTAGTATAGTCTGTATAGAGAAAGATGTATACAGAGAGCGTGTGCATAATTTTAATTCTTGGAAAATAGGGTAAAATCATATAAAACCTACACGCTCTTCACCCTATTATATACTTGATCATTACTCAAACCAAAAGCGCACACACACACGTATATATATAGAGTTCAAAAGAGTCAGCCTTGAGAGAAAAACAAAAATTCACAAAGAGTAAAAATCACGCAGAAAGAATCAGAGAGAGAGAGAATGGGTTGGGTTAGAGGAGAAACCCTCGGTAAGGGTGGTTTTGGGTTCGTCTCCATCGCCAAAACCATGCAAGATCATAATCTGCCGTCGTTGATTGCCGTGAAATCCGCCAAATTTTCCGAATCCGAATCACTGAAGAAGGAGAAGGAGCTGCTCGACAAGTTCCAGTCATGCCCCTCTATCCTCCGCTGCTTCGGTGACGAAATCACGGCCGAAAACGGGGAGAAACTCTACAACATATTGCTCGAGTATGCCTCGGGCGGATGCCTCGTCGACCACATCACCGTCAAAGGCCTTCCGGAAATCACGGTCAGCCGCTGCGCGAAATCCATACTCACGGCGCTCCTTCACATCCACAAGGCTGGCTACGTTCACTGCGACGTGAAGCCTCACAACGTGTTGCTCGTCGGCCAAGACGTGAAGCTCGCAGATCTCGGGAGCTGCTGCTGCAAGACGAGCTTCGTCGACGGAAATAGTAGGTGTGATGATTTCAGGGGCACGCGCGGTTATGTACGCGGCCCCGGAGTCGATAGCCCAGCAGAAGTACTTGCCGGAGTCGGATGTTTGGGCCTTGGGCTGCTCGGTTCTACACATGCTAACTGGAAAATCACCGTGGGCTTTCGACAGCAAGGCCCAGCCGAAGGATGTTCTCTTCAAGATCGGGTGCAGTGACCAAATTCCCCAGATTCCAACAAACAACAGAATATCCAAAGAGGCTAAAGACTTTCTCGCAAAGTGTTTGGTGAAAGATCCGATGGCCAGGTGGAAAGTTGATATGCTTCTCGACCATCCATTTGTCAACAAGGCCGATCGACCGACAGTTGCCGGAAAATACCATCATCACCATAGATTGTCTCATGGCATTCACTCTTTGGTGCCTCACTGTTTTCACCATCCAAAAGTGCAGGCCTGCTGATTACATCTTCTATATGTTTGTAAATTGTACACTCAATATTTTTAACAGTTCTTGTGTATATCTTTTATTTTCAACACTATATTACAATTTACAAAGTCAATACTAGCTAATTCCTTCTTTCTTCTTGCTGTGGTAATGGTATCACATTTAAAAACTTGTACCTTTTAGATACAGCATGCATATAT